CCCCCCCCCCCCCCCCCCCCCCCTCCCCCTCCCCTCCCCTCCCCCCCTCATCGAGTCCTTCGTCGTCACTTAGGGTCACGGTCAGATGCCAGCAGGTATTGCCGAATTCCAAAGGCAGTTTGGTTGCGGTTCGGCTCGAGATACCGTCGAGGATTTCGTCTCGCTCTCCCCTGCTCTTGTCGATATCGATCGCGACGACACGCCGACCGGCAACTCAACTAAAACCGGAACTGAACCGGGACCGGATTGCAGCTTTCAATTTATCCGTGGGCGCAACGAGTACCTCGAGGTTAGAAGGAGAAAATGCTGTCCCGCTGTCCCAATTTAAATCGAGGGGGAGGGGTGAAAGGTCTGGGAGAACTTACAAGTGCGTGTCGAGCCGTAGATCCTAAGTCGGTTCCACACCATCCGCGTTCATGTGCTTTGCGTCCGATTGCAGCCAGCAGTGAACGTCTCACCCGCGTTCACAAGCGGCAGCACCCGGGAAGGGAGGAGCCCGGAGGAGCCCAGAGGAGCGCCGCGTCTCCTGCACTCAGTCAGGACTCGATAGCTGGCAGAGGCGGGTGGGTTTTAAACGCGAGTGTTTTCGATCCCTTCGGCGGGGATTGCGGTGCGTTGCATTTCTTGGAAGCACGGTGATGGGCGGGATGAGACAATATTATGCGTTTGTTATTGGAACATGCTCGCATGAGTCATTGGAAGATAGGGAAGATAACGATACGGACGGATGAGGAAAAATAAGCCGGAAGCGGAAGTGACCGACTGATGAATGAGATTTTTCACTCGGGACTACTAAACCGGCCGCATAACACACTTGAATTCGCAGGGGCCAGGGAAATTCCAGGGAAATTCCTGGAAAAAATTTCCAGGAATTTCCCCAGACCCCCGTTCCTCTCGCCTTCTTTCGGCTCCCCCCGCGAATCTACCCCGCAGATGACAGAAAATCGACATTGAACCCGCCTCCGAAACGAAAACGTTCTCACCCATCCACCTCCCCAACGACCACCGAAAAACACCATGGGACTCCAGACACCACCGAAGAATCCCAAGAAAACGAACTTCCGCCACGAACCAGCGCTGCACGACCTCCCCCTCCGCCGCCGCTTCTCCGACTGGAGCCCGAATCACCTCCTCAATTCTCCCGGCCTTTCTCGAATGCTTCCCGCATGCAGGCAGAGTGCAATTTCAATATGGCTCCTGCTTGCATTCTGGGTGGAATGGCCCCGCCCGTTCCAGAATGCAAAGGATCATTTCGAGGAATGTCGCTGTACAGGGCGACCCGTTTGTCTGGCGCTGCACGCTCTCCGTACTTGATATTATCCAGCAGGCACCTTCTCACTCGAATAATATATATTTCAATAACATTATATTTAATTACAATTTAATAGCAGTTATAACCTGCGAATTTAAAACATCACTTGGCCCTCGTGAATGAAAATTGGTTCTCGCGATGGAAACATCTGCTTTTTCCAGAAAAGAATCTCTTCGTCTTTCACGGCAAAAAAAAGAATGCTTATAAATCACTTTTGAAGAAATGAGCGCTTCAGCTTGCGCCTTTCCTCAGGCACAGACGCTGGAAGCCCTGTTGATACTGACACTGCCACCTGGCGGGAATGCGCGTACACACTTGACTGTCAATCTCAATCCTATGACAATATTATAGAATGATAATTATTTTAAATTGTTGGTATATTGTGAACAGGGGAACAAGCACGTGATAGTTGTTCCTCTTTATGGGTTGGGAAAACTGCCCCTATTGGCAACCCTGTCGCTATGGCGGAGACCTTTGAAGTCAGTGCCTTGGACACGTGACTAGCACCGTTGGGAAATGGGACGAAGAAGCGCTTCAATGAAATTCTTGGCGTGATGCTGGAATGAGTTTCTAGATATTTCCAGTCGGGTCAAATTCTCGGTTCAAGATGGGAAAGCAAAAAAGGGTGAGCTAACCTAGGCCTATGCTTGGGGCGTACGTGAACCTTCGGGGATAACATGCACATCTGCAATAATTTATCAGAAACGTTAGGCTGTGCTATCGTAGGCCTATCGTGAGGATTTTTCTTCGTTTGTGCACATGTCACGCTGTGGCATGCCCGCATCCCTGTCAATTTCACCTAATGGGTGACGTTGACACACCTGTTAGGTGTATACTGCACCGTAAATAGACAGAAAAGTCACTGTCCCAGCTTTGTGCGTGACGGATGAGAAATGTCGCATATGTGAGTTTTAAATGAAATTCACAGACATGCATGGATTCCTTTCGAGTGACAAACTATCTAACTAAGTGACTAACAAAATCTAATTACTCCTGCCAATTTGTATTGCAAGCTGAATAGGCCTGCACTCTTATGGATGTTTGAGAGTTGGCCTTCCGATTGCTAGAGATAATTTGAGAACCTTTGTCAACTGTCTGATTCGTGCCATTGCAAATCCAATTCAACTTTAGAAGTAATAACTGTAGAACTGTAAAAAAAAATGCCCAAATTGCAAAGTGCCAATAGGGTGCATAACTAAGTATGAGTGGAAAGTGCTTCGATGAAGGTGACTGCTTTATTAGGCCTAGATGTAAGGCTCTACTCCAATGTTCATAGAGTTTTTCACTAAATTTGATTCCATTTCATGAGCTAGTTGTTGGCCAATTTCACACATTCCCATTTCTCAGATCCCATATCTTCTAACATTGAAGTGATTCCACCATTTTAAGTAAATGAGTTTTAAGATTCTGAAATTGGATTCAGAAATCTTTGCAAGAACCTTCAGATCATAAAGCATTTCTCTTGAGTGGCATTTCCCAGGATTGCTACTGTTGAAGCTTTGGTATATTAGCAAATGAAAGGTCAATTTGTTTAACAGGTCAGGAGAGAGTTAGTCTTCACAAAGTAGGATATCTTGCTAATCAATGGTGTGTCCAATGTCCACATATGACATGAGATTTACTCGTGTCTTGATGCCTAGTTGCACTGAGGTAAAACATGGATGTTTTCACATTATAATCATAATCATAATTCAGTGAGCCTACTTTTCCTTAGTCCTAATGTAACTTTAATGAATTAAATGGAGTAAAGGGAACTCAGTTTCACCTTGTGATTAGTCTGGGTAGAGAAAATGAATGAAAATAACTACAATCTAAGAAGCTCACTTTCTTTAATCATTTTAGACAGTGACTCAATGCTCTCATCCATACCTGAAGGGAGCTTATTCCCATGTAATGCCTTTCCAACATCTAGTGAGCTCTGCCTTATTTCTTCATTGTCAGTTTACTTTGCCTCAGTATGCCAGTTGACACAATTGAAGTTTCAGTTGATGTAAGCAACTGCTTGAAAAACATGCATTAAACAATTATTAAACAAAACTTTTAACTTAGAGGAACTTAAACCCTTAGTGAAACTGATCTCCTATGTCCATAACTCCTCCATGATCACAGAGTCTCATTCTGGAATGATTCTACTAGAAGATATGCTTGTAGTTCCCCTCATCACCTTCCAATCTTACCAGATCTATGCCAGTGCATGTGATTGCATCAGATGGTACATATTCTATCCTTGCCTGGACTTCTGGACTTCATTTTTGTCAGGAATGCAGCCACTATCATTTCAACAGTTAAGACGTTATTATGTTCATGCAAAGCAAAAGCAATGCTATGAGCATGCCTGCAATAATACAATTTTTTTATGAGTCTGGTACAAATAGTCCATGTTTGGCCATGTGATCATTAGGGATGTAGAGTAATGATGAGGCCTATTTCTATTTTGGACCATATGAGATATAAATAACTCACATTTACTTTTTAGGGTAGATACGTGAAGAAGCAGAAGGCCTTGGCAGAAACAGAGTCAGAAGAGGTGCAGAATGCACCACACAGTTTTGTCATCCACCGTGGGAAGGTGAGCGTGGACGTCAAGACGCTCGAACAGGATCTCCGCTCCATTTTGGAGCCATTCACTGCCTCCAAGTTGAAAAGCAGGAAGAATAGTCACATCAAAGACTATGTGACTGCATCAGGAATCTTCCATGTATCACATCTTCTCATCCTGTCTCAGACTGAACTAGGAGTTAACTTGAAGGTCTGCAGGTTGCCTGCTGGCCCAACGCTTACTTTTAGGTATGTTACTCTCAGACCAGAATTCTAGTTTGATTTTTGCAACAGGTGCTTTGAGATTGGGTCAAGAGCCTGACAATTTGGATTAAGACTGTTTGCCCTAATTAATAGCATCTTTTTACTTATTTCATTTTCTGTCTTCAATTTGCTTAATTTTGGAAAGTTGGTCTCCCTCCTGCCCTTTCTGCTGTTTGAGAAATGAGTAGTTATGCATAAAATTGTGAATTTTTGGTCAAAGTTAAATCATCCCTTAATGTACCTGGGCAAGCCCAGGAAATTGATTTTTATGTTTTGACCTATTCTGTTAACCAATTTAGGAATACATTTCCTCTGTTGCCACTAAAAGGCCATTAAGCCACGACATTTCTTCATGAATGAACAGGGTGAAAAGGTATTGCCTGGGCCGTGATGTGAGATCCTGTCTCAAGAGACAGGTGATTTATGATGGACTCCTCCTGAACCCCCCTCTCTTGATCCTCAGTGGGCTCTCAGAGGACATCAACCATGAGTTGCTCATGGCTAAGGCCTTTCAAAACCTTTTTCCGCCTCTCAGCATTCCCAAGGTAATTTATTTCTTGAAATTTAAAAAATTTGTTTCTGAAGATGTTTGGCAAAAGCCGAAGTATTCTTTGGTAGACTTCCTGAATTTCTTCACTAGAATTATTTCTACCAGGCCCCCTCTTCCTAAATTATAACATCAAATGAAAACCTCTTCATTACTTCTGAAATTATTCTTGCAGCAATGGAAGCCATCGCAAAAAAGGATGAGAGAAGTAGATCAAAAGTGATTGACGTCTGAGACTATTGTCTGAAAAATGAATTATTATTTGCTGAGTTTGTCTCTGTGAAGTGAAGTTTGTCATTTTAGTACTAAGCATAGGTTTTTGGTTGGGTTGAGAAAGTTTTTATTTGCCAGATGATTTCCCTGATTATGAACTGAATTTTCAATTGAACAGCAGATCCAATCCATGTGAGACTCTAGTCTGAGGTCAGGGGGAAAAAGGTATTAGATTTGAATCAAGTAAGACTTTATTTTCCTCCAAGAGGAAGCTGGTGTTTTATTTCAGGCACAAGTGAAAGATTAAAATTCAGAGTTGAACCTAATGATTATTGTTAGGATTTATTCATCACTGGGTGCATCCTGAATAAAACTAAGATTGTAATGTGAACTTTCGAACTGATTAGGAAGAGATCATTTTCAAATCATGCACCTGTCTTTTTGATACCTTGAGCCATTGGTTTCTTGCCTTAATAGATGGAAGTGAAGAAGATGAAGCGGGTCTTACTCATCCACAAGGATGCTGAGTCAGGAGAGCTGGAACTGAGACACTTTGCTGTCCGCCTTGCCCCTGTTGCAGGACGACCCATCAAGAAACTCACATCGAACCATGTCCCCAATTTGGCCAAATATGATGATGTTGCTGATTTTGTACTCAAGTGAGGACATGAGCTTCCTTATTTGTGATGATTGCCGTATCAAATTCATGAGATTTTCAATGATATTGCCATAATGTAGTGTGTTTGGGACATTATGATGCAATAGACCTAAGAAAAGATTTCACTGGCTTGGCCTGTTCGTTTAATAATGAAGTCTCAATGTGTTTTACTTGAACTGCTTTGTTAGATAGGGTTGATACTTTGTCATTTCAAAGTTCTTACAGGCTGCTGAATGTATGTTTTTATTTATTTTTTTATATTTTGACATTTAGTATCCATTGAGCTAATTGTTTACTCCTACCTAACCAGAAGTAATCCTTATTTAGGCAAAGAAAAATGTATCTTTCATATTCAGAAAAATGAATTATATTCTCTCTTTGCACTTCATGAAGGTTCATGAGAAGTAGAAGTTTATTATTGTTTTTGTCTGATATTCCTCACTCAAAAAGCTAGAATGTTGCTTTATTTACATATTATGTTTACTTGCATTATTACATTCTTAAGCTTTCTTCTCAGGTTTATGTTAGGCTTGGTAAGGGGTCAGATATATAAGTCATTAGTATTAGAGATCAGCCATCATGTCCACTATGCTTTTGCTTGATAATGATTATGTTAACTTGCAGGAGTGGTCAGTTATCAGAGAGCGAAGGAGAAGCAGATGACCCAAGTGCTCAGGTGACCCTGCCAGAGGGCATGGAAGTGAAGGGACAAATTGGATCTGCAAAGCAGTCTGCTGTCAGGTTGACTGAAATTGGGCCTCGAATCACTTTGCAGGTAAGAGATGACATTTTATGTCATCATGCATAGTTAGGACAGATTTTCATGGACCCTTCACACAGCTGATGAAGGTTGAAAGTGGCCTGTTGACTGGAGAGGTGTTGTTTCATGCCACCGTCGTCAAATCTGCCGAGGATAGAGAGAGGATCCGAAGACTGCGGGATGAGAAGAAGTATGAGTTTCTTTTCTTAGATGCTGATGGTTGTGCCAGTACTGTCACAAAACTGTTGTTTCAGGCGCTTGAAGTTGGAGAGGAAGCGAAAGCAGGCTGAGAACTTGAAGCGGAAGCAGATGCTCGAGGCAGAGGCCAAGAAGCAAAAGGAAAAGGAGCTAGAAGCAGAAGAGGATGATGATGTTGCCTGGTATCGACAGGAAGTTGGTGAAGAACCCGATCCAGGTAAATATGCAACATACCCATTTCAAGCCCACTCCTGTTATGTATTTATTTGTGGTTAGATGGTGATAGCTAATGCTAGTCTTGGTACCATGCTATGGTTGCCATAGTTACAGTTGTGAGACATTATTTGCATAGTTTCTGATCCTGCATTTGGAAAAAGTTCCTATTGAATTAGATATTAAAATAGGTGCTTTGTATTCCCAATTTAGTAGCCTTGGACACTGTCATTGCTTCCTGTTATTCAATCAAGTAGTGATCATACAAGACTTGGAAAATGCACCCCCTTTTCTCTAGAGGTATAACCCATACATGGGCCACACCTTGAAGCCTCCCAATGTAAAGAATGATCTTATTTTGTATCCATCAAAAGACTGTGTTGCCATGCCTTGTTGGAAAAGAAGTATTGGTTTAGTTGAATATGACGCAGCTACCATACTACTCCAAGCAATTCTGTTGTGGAAGTACCCATGCCCATGGCATATTTTATCCTAGCCTGCCAGTCCAGTTACATTGTTTAGATGTAGCTGTTGTCTGGCATTTTTTATAATTCCCTCATGCTCTCTTTTTGTGATGAGGACTTTCCTTGCAGGTGGCATGAAGTTTACTTATCCCATATTTCAATTTTCTTCTAATTTCCACCAGATCTGCTGTCAAAGAAGAGGAAGTGGAAGCGAAGGGGGGAAGTGAAGGTGGAGGAGGAGCAGGAGGATGAGGAAACAGCAAAGAAAAAAGCAAAGTTGAAACGGAAGAAAGAAGAGCATGCCGAATGGCTCGAGCAGGTCAAGAAACGGAAGCAGCTCAAGATGAAGAAAAAAAGAAGGAAGAAGTGAGATTGATGTTTATCCCATCTGAATAATAATGTCAAAACTGACTTCTGAAATTGCTCTTTCATTGCATAAGTATGCAATAAAGTGACATTGATTACATGTGGATTCTGTTCCTCACAATTGGCAAGCCTATTTTCAGCAGGGAGCCAGGGAATTTTTTTGCTTCTTCCAATTCATATTCCTATCATGGTGATGCTGATGACCAGATGGACATTTGTTTAATTTTTTAATTCTAGGAACTGTTCGGTCCTATTTTCGCCATAACATTATTTATGGGAGATAAGGAAATTTTATTCCTGTCTCTATGGAGAAAGAGGCACCAAAGATGCAAAAAGACGTGACATTATTGTCCATCATACCAGATTTAGTCAAAGAGGTGAGAATACATTAATGCATTAGAAACCTTGAAATCCTCCAAATCTTTTTTTCAACATCCATCATGGCAGAATTGAACCAGGCAATCTTGAATTTGATTCGCACAAAACTAGGAGATAGTACCCTGTGATTTAATTAAATTTTGCACTTTCGAAGTGGTGTATTTATTCCCCTGTATTCTCAAACTTGAACACGATCGTGATTTCTGTCTGCCCTGAATGAGAACTGTCGAACCATCACAGACCTGGTATGACTTCCTTCTCTGGAAAATTGTATCAAGAGTTACATGACATGTCATGACTGAGTTCCATCTCTCACGGTTAAAGGGTTTCAACATGACTGCATTAGGACGTGCAGCCTACAGGGAGCCGAGCCAATGGCCCCGACTTATTGAAGATACTTAGACACCAATAATAATTCCCTGAAATCATTGGACGAACAAAGACCAACAAGCAACTTTTCACTGCTACACGAGAACGAGAACGCACAAGCGCATTCTAATATGATACACCATAGCTCAGGCCAGAATGCACGACTCAAGTGGCAAGGCCTAAAATAACTACGAACGTACGCATTTCGCGCAGACGGGCTGACTACGACAAGCATAATCTCTATACAGAGGTCTGAGACAAGATCAAACCAGAAATAAGAAAAAACTTTCAGGTAAGATATAACATCACGAAATGACTTAGCACAGCCACCACAGTCTTTCTTCAACGCGTTCAAACGGCATCGCCGTTGCGTCAAGTACATACCACTCACCGTACATGGCTGAGAGAAATTAATACGTGGTACACATTGTCATTACTTAGTCCTATTCATCCGTGACCAAGAAATGATGATGAAGTCCAGTCCTGCTGGATGCTGGGGTACTTTTATCCATTCGGAGGCTTTATCCAAATGCTAGTGGTCCAATGCATCCCACATTCGGTAGAAATGGGAAGGACTTTTTTCAAATATTCCATTGGAGTATCGGTACGCGTGACCTCGTTCGCTTAATCGCGGAACAGCCATCCTGCTGGTATCGACTTTGAGTCCATGTGCGTGTCCATGTTTCAGAGAGACAAGACCAATGAATGAAATGCCAAGTGTAAAAGGGGAACATCGATGGTCACGCTTGGTTCTTCCAATAGAAATATGGGAAAATGGAATTCATGAATCCATTCATTCCCATTAATGAAAGAGTCTGTCATAATTGATATGGCAGCGAAGGGAGACGAAGATGAGCAAAATGTGTTCTAGAGGCAGGGAAGGGCATCATTAATTGCATTCAGACTGGCATCAAAGGTATCAACATTTCATCTTATTGGATGAAATATTTCCTTCTCTCTGATCGCGTCGAACTCTTCAGCACAATTTGATATCGCATTCCTCCCATTCGGGATCAGTTCCGGCGCCATTAAAACACCATGGCCCATCCGTGCCTGTTTCAGGATTTCGACAAAAATTGTGAGAAGGATGAATGTCGTCCGGGAATGCCAAAGCATTTTGATGAAACACATTTTCGTTGTTATTCCGTGAAACGCTCATCCACGGCTGGCAAGGGTAGCCTGACTTCGTAACGTTCTTTGTTCCCATGTACTTGTCTCCTTTTTGGTTATTTCTGCACTCCGATGGAGCTGGTATTCAAAAAATGCAATGGCGGAATGTTATGCGAGGAAGAGGAGGAAAATCGATTGGAACGAAGTTCCATGAAGTCAGGAAGAACGATCGTGAGCGGTCCGAAGATATCGAAGAAAACGAAGAATGAAAACTCACTGATGCAATTTCCCGAAACACGAATATCGCATCGTTCTCCTTCAGTCCAAGAACAAACGGGAACGTCGCAGTACTCCCAGTCCGAATCGTTGTTGCGATTGCAAAAGCAACACCGTGGACCGTGAGCGTTGCCTTCAGGATTGCGACAGAAGTTGTGGCTCCCATCGACTTCATCCGGAAATGCGGACAGCGACTTGGCGATCGCATTCTGGACCGTGGGAAACGTGGCCAGCCGATGTTGGCACTGAAATCCCGATATGGTCGTATTCTGCCTTCCGACATATTCACGGCCGCTTCGCGTCAGCTTGCATTCGGGCGGATCTAAAAGGGAATGAAATTGCCCTCGAGTTGCGAAGCAGGCAATTTCAACACGATTGGATCGAGAGACTCACCGAGGTTATGACAAGAGGGAATGTCGCAATATTCCCACGTGATGTCTAGGTCAGAGACAAGCACCATGGCCTTTCCCTGTATAGAGCAGGGTTGCGGCAGTAATTCTTGGGGATTGTTGGGTCCAGATTGATGAAGTGATCCGAATATCCAATTTTCTGATTGAAGAAATCCCATGGCATCCCATACGGCTTAGATTCCCAATGGAGACAAGGCTTTCCCGTCTCGGTCACATCCTTCGTCCCCACGTATTCCTTTTCTTTCTCCAGTTTCTTTCTATTCAGTCTGCATTCAGGATAGACGTTCCCCTCGGGTCAGGAGTCAGGAGAGTTAGTGATATCAAGAGGCGATTTCACCCATTTCGATATCACGTGTCGAGGTCGAGCGTTCCTTAATTTTAGGGTAGGCCTAACCCTCTTAAAGCTATATATTTTTTTATTTTTTTATTTTTTTTTTTTTACTATCCTAGTTGCTTACTGTCTAGTACCTACGTCAACATTGCCCCCCACCTTTTTACCTGTCCATGAAAGCATCTAGTTTCTTCTTAAAGATAGTCTTGGCGCGGGGCAGCCACTACTTCGTCATCTAACGCATTCCACGCGTTCACCACTCTGCAAGTAAAGAATTCCTGTCTCGACCTGAGCCGCACCTGCGGTTCAAGCAACTTAAGTCGGTTACCTCTCGTTCTCTTGCTGTCATCAAACTGGAAAAACCTACCACACTCGACATCATCTATTCCTTTAATTATCTTGAAAGCCTGGATGAGATCGCCCCTCCTTAACCCTCGTTCGAGCGAGTACAGTCTCAGCACTTCTAAACGCTTCTCGTATGATAGTCCCCTAACCTCCTTAATCATTCTTGTGGCCCTCCTCTGTACTCCCTCGAGCGCCAACAGATCGCCCTTATTTGTAGGCCTCCAAAACTGAATGCAATATTCCAGCTGGGGTCTTATCAGCGCCGCATACAACGGAAGAATAACGCGAGATGTCCTACTTGCAACCGACCGACGAATGTAACCTAGAATCCTATTGCATTTGGCCACCGTCGCTTGCGCGTGCGAGGAAAATTTGAGGTCCTCGTCGATAGAAACACCTAAATCTCTCTCTCCGTTTGCCTCATCCAATTTAACATCGCCGAACGTGTCGAGAGACCTAC